CACTTCCTGACCTCAAAAGGTACATTAATTACATTTTTTATTCAGTTTGTCTTGAAATTTACATTTAACATTTCTTTTGTATTTAGGGCTTTTTTTTGAAGAAACAAGAAAAAAATTGTCTTGTTAATAAATACAACAAAGCAAAAAACAAAAACTGGAAGAATTTTGGGTGTTAGAATAACTTATTTATTTATTTTTCATTTTTGTTCTTTCCAGGGCCCTTGCGGACATTCTGAGGCAACAGGGGCCCATCCCCATTTCCCAGTATGACTGTGAGAATTTTGCAGTGATGAACGGTTCGTCCAAAGACAACACACCTGTCAGAACCTCCTCTAAGAACCACTACACCCCCATCCACACCTCCAAATCCAACCATGGTAAGGTGATCTTACTGACTGCATGTCAAATCGAAGTTTCAGCTTGTTCTTTGTCTTTGTTCAGCATCATCTGGGCTCTAATGTTCAACACTCAATCTGTAATCATCACATTTGAGCAATAGACAGTGTGAAAAGAGAGGCAGCATCAGAAAAAGAAAAAGTGGGACCCTTTAGAGGAGATAATGACATGCTTGGGGGGTTCAAATGCAAATAATAAAAAACCCTGAACAAATGCTTATGGTTCCAGTCAGTGGCAAGGCAGGTGTTATCTGATGAAGGGAGGCAAAGACACAGATGGAGAATAATGAGATATTAGAAAGAAGCTGCTGAGCTGGAAAGAAAAACAAAAATAYGTTGAGCTTTGACTGAGGAACTGGAGGGGTGGATGTGTTGTGTTTGCAACAACTTTCTCACCACTCTTCCTCTCCCCCATTCTGATGCAGAAAATAAAGGAAATCATTTTCTATTTGTTTTTCACAAGCTGTCAAGATTTCCTGAAGCCTTACACAAACATCTGACGTGACAGAGTTATAACCTCAATTCCAATGAAGTTGGGACATTGTATAAAACAAATAAAAACAGAGTATGATGATTTGAAAATCCTTTTCAACCTATACTCAACTGGATAAAACACAAGATATTTAATGTTAAAACAAAGTTTTTATTGTTTTTTTTTAATTTTGCAAATATTAACGCAAGAAAGAACTGAGACAGGGGCATGTTTACTGTGTTACATCTCCTTACCTTTAAACAATACTCAGTAAGTGTTTGGGAACCTGAGACACTGAAGCTGGAAACATACTCGCTGCGAACTGCCGACGTCGGCACGGGTTGTCGCAGTTTAATGACGAAAATTACGTCACCGGGCTTCGCAGCGTCGTGTTGACAGCCTCTTTTGGCACAACCCACCGGCAGAACTTTTGACCCCCCTCCTGTGTCGACGGTAATGTGTGATTGGTCTGAAGTTTGTGGGCATGTTTGTTTGAGCTGCGCTCCGGGGGAAAAAAAGAAAAAAGAACGACTCGTTCCCAGACTAGAAAGCAGAGTTTTATAAGATAGTCAAACCATGAAAAACTTATGGCTTGTTTGTTTGTGCTGCTGCTCTCGGTACAAAAGGGAAACAAACAAACAGACTCGCTCCCAGAGCCGACACCAGGAAGCAGAGTTTCATAGTCAAACCTTGAAAAACTCATGAATGGAGATAAAACAGACGTTGTGCACAGAGGAATCTGACTGATAAAAACTGGAGCTTTAACCGGAACAGATGTGGATAAATACATCAGGTGAGTGACGAGTCTTTTCCTTTCTGCAATGATTGTCGGCTGTTGTGGGGGAACTCCATGCAGTGACGTATGGTTCAGTGGGAGGGGTTTTTCCTGAGCTCGGTGCGGGGTGTCTCAGGGACTATGAAAGGTCTGTGCGAAAACGACTGCCGATCAACAACGTGACCGCGCGTCGACCCGTCGGCGTCRGAGCGAGTATGTTTCAGCCATAATTGTTGAAGCTTTGTAGGGGAAGTTATTTCCCATTCTTGTTTGATGCACAGCTTAAGTTGCTCAACAGTTCAGGGTCTTCGTTGTCGTATTTTGCGCTGTATAACACGCTGCACATTTTCAATGGGAGACAGGTCTGRAGTGCTKGCAGRTCCAGTACCTGCACTCTTTTATTATGAAGCCAGACTGTTGTAACACTGTAAAAAYGTGGCATTGTCTTGCTGAAATAACCAGGGATGTCCCTGGAAAAAAAGTTGTTTGGATGGCAGCATATGTTGCTCCAAAACYTGTGTGTACCTTTCAGCATTAACGGTACTTTCACAGATGTGAAAGTTACCCGTTCCATGGGCACTAACACCCCCCATACCATCAGAGAAGCTAGCTTTCTAAAATTGCACTGATAAYAATCCAGACAGTTGTTTTCCTCTTTGGACCAGGGTACACGACATCCACKATTTCCAAAAACAATTTGAAATGTGGACTCGTCCGACCACAGGACACTTTTCTACTKTGTGTCMGTMCATCTTAGATGAGCTCAGGTCCAGAGAAGGTGGTGGCATGTCTGGGGGCGTTATTGATGACTTTCACTTTGTATGGTAGAGTTTTAASTTGCACTTGTAGATGTAGCGATGTACWGTGTTCACTGATGATGGTTTTCTGAAGTCTTCCTGAGCCCATGTGGTAATATCTGCTACAGGATTATGTGGTTTTTAATGCAGAGCTGCCTGAGGTATCGAAGGTCACGGGCACTTAGTGTTGGTTTTCAGCCTTGCTGCTTACTTGCAGAGATTTGTCCAGATTTTCTGAATCTTTTGATATTATGGACTGTAGATGAAGAAATCCTTAAATTTCTTGTAATTGTATGTGGATAAATGTTCTTCAACTCATRCTGTTGTTCACAAAGTGGTGAACCTCACCCYRTACTTACCTGTGAACAACTRAACCGAGGATGCTCCTTTTRCACCCAATCATGATACTCACCTGTTTCCAATTAACCTGTTCACATGTGGACTGMCCCAAACAGGTATTTCTGAACATTCCTCAACTTTCCCAGTCTTTTGTTGCCTACGTCCCAGCTTTTTTGAAATGTGTTGCAGGCATCAAATTCAAAATAAAAGGAATTGCAAATCATCATATTCAGTTTTTATTCATGTTTTGCACAACATCCCAACTTCAATGGAGCTGGGGTTGTAAGTTAAAGACAGAGAGCCACTAGCTGCGTTTCCATTGACCATGAAAATGCGCAAATTAGAATTTCGAAAATAAATTTGCTCAATGGAAACACGTCAATTTCGAAAATACATTACGTTTGTCGACAAAATGTTTTTGCGCTAGGATGAGGTGGTTTTTCAGTCGTATCAAAATTGATGTTTTTCACAAAACTGCAA